GAAAAATATCCAATGCTCATTCATCAGTAGGATCAGTATCATAAAATGGCCATTCTACCAAAAGCAATCTACAGATTGAATACAATCCTCATTCAAATTCTAACACAATTCTTCCCAGAGCTTCAAAGGACTGTTTTCAGCTTCATTTGAAAACACACACACACACACACACACACACACACAAACAGGAAAGCTAAAACAGTAACAAATAATAGACGAACAGCAGGGGGGCCAAACAACCACTATTTTCAATTCCAAGTTGTACTACAAAGCTACAGTTAATAAACAAAACAGAGCATAGTATTGGTGCATAAGAAGACACATTGATCAATGGAATCAAATTGAATACCCAGACAAAAATCCACATACTTATTGACACCTGATTTTTTATAAAGAAGCCAAAAATACCCACAGGGAAAAAGTCTGCATCTTCAACAAACAGTGTTGATCAAACTGGATGTCTGCATGTAGAAGGAGGTGAATAGACCCATGTTTATCAAGTAGCACAAAACTCAACTCCAAGTGGATCCAAGTTTCAACATAAAACCAGATACCCTGAACTCAACAGAAAAGAAAGTGGGGAATAGCCTTGAACGCATTGGCCCAGGTGATGACTTCCTGAATAGAACACTGAGAGTGTGGCACTAAGGACAACAATTAATAAATGCCACCTCATGAAACTGAAAAGCTTCCCTAAGGCACAGGACACTGTCATCCGGACGAAGCGGCAGCCCCCAGAATGGGAAAAGACTTTTAGCAACTCCATGTCTGGTAGAGAGATAATTTATAAAATATATAAAGAACTCAAAAAAACCTAGACATCAAGAAAACAAGTCACCCAATTTAAAATGGGTGATCTAAACAGAGAATTCTCAAATGAGGAAACTCAATTGACTGAGAAACACTTAATGAAATAGTCACCATCCTCAGCCATCAGGACAATGCAAATGGAAACTCCTTTGAGATTCCACCTTACTCCTGTCAGAATGACCTAGATCAATACAACAGAGGATGGCGCACTCTGGTGAGGGTGTGAGTAAGGTTGACATGCATCCATTGCTGGCGAGACTGAAAAGTTGTACAGCCATCATGAAAACCGCTGTGGCAGTTCCTCTGGAAGCTGGGAATTGATCTACCTCAAGATCTAGCTGTGCCACTCTTGGACATATGCCCAAAGGATGCCTCATCCTGCCACAGAGACACTTGCTCAGCCATGGTCACTGCTGCTCTGTGCACAGTAGCCAGAAAATTTACATAATGAAATAGTATTCGTCTTTAAAAAATGAAATTTGCAGGTAAATGGAGAGAGCTAGAAAAAAAAAATCATCCTGAGTGAGGCAACCGGGTCCAGAAAGACAAATATGATAAGAATTCACTTACATGTGGATGTTAGCTGTTAGGTCATTGACAACCAAGTTATAATCTGTATAACCACAGAGGTTAGGTATATAGTAAGGGACTACAGGAGAGGCGTGGATCTCTCTGGAAGCAGAAATAGAATATATAGTTAAAGAGAAAGGTTGGGGACTGGAAAGGAAGAATCAAACGGGAAGACGCAGAGAAGAGGGGAAATGTGAAGAGGGACAGTTAAAACTAAAGGCCGTTTGAGGGGTCATAGAATCTTCCCAACATGCATGAAGGCAACCTAAATGACACTGCCAGGTAATGGGGAAACAGAGCCCCTACTGGGCACCTCATTACCAAAACTCGTACTGGGAATAGGTTACATATAATTGAGTTGTTGACCAGATGGACCCCACGGGACCCCACAAACTATTATTACCAGAGCTACAAACTGATGGTAAGGCCCTATTGCTGAAGACATTGACCATGGAGAAAGCTGAGCTGGTGCCTGCTTAGGTCCTTCTCCCATACAGACCAGTACTGGACGGTATTCTTCACACTGCCAAAGGACGAAGGCAAACCCCAATCCAGCTACAAAACCTTCAATCTCCAATGGCGACCGGCCCACAACACACACTAGTGCAGTAGTAGAACGAGCTTGTGAAAGGAACCAACCAAGATCTGATTTAAAGCCAGCCCATGCAATGGAATCCATCCTGACATTGCTTGGGTGGCCAAGAACCTGAGATTAAGTCGGCCAGGCACCTAGAGGAAAACCAAATACTACTGTTCGGCTAAAATGACTCCCAATGGCATTCTCCTACACTCATAGGTCAGGGCCTTGCTCAGCCATCATCAGAAAAGCCTCCTCCTGCAGCAAATGGGACAGAGACCCACAGGCCCAACGTGGACACAGTGAGAGAGCTTGGAATACCCAGCTTTAAAAGGGTTGTCTCCATCGAATCCCTCCCCTGAGGGCTCAGGGAACCCTGCAGGAGGAGGTGAAAAGAGTGGAAGAGCCATAGGGAATGGCGGACAACAAGGAAACGTGCCTTGTAGACACAGAAGGCACGGCACATACACACTCAGAGACTGGGCCAGCATGCACAGGGCCCGCAGGGGCTGCACTAGATAGAGTCCTAGAGCTGAGAGAAGAAGTGGACACACACACCCTGGTCCCTAATCACAAGCTGTCTCCAACTGGTGCCATTTGCAAATGAACATTACTTTTCTCCAATGCAGTCTTACTGGGGAAGCTGACCGCTCTCAAGGGCAGGCCCCAGGCCCAGCAGAGGATGGCCAACACAGAAAGAGCTCAAAGGCACCTTTGCGGGTTGCTTCATAATGTTGTGTCAGAACTTTCATATTTTATTTTTTACTTTGATATATGTTGTGGCTTCCTTTTTGTGTTTTTGTGTGGTTCCTGCATGTGTGACTGTGTAGGCATGTGTTTCATCCACTTTGGTGTGGTGGGGGGGGGCTTTTTTCTTCTGTTTATTTTGTCCTATTCTGACTTTTTTATCTTATTTTATTATTATTTCTTAGATATTTGTTTGTTCAATAACAGACAGAAAGGGTGTACGTCCAGATGGAGGGGTGGGGTGGGAAGAATCTGGGAGGAGTTGAGGAGGGAAAACCACAATTCCACAATTAGAATATATTTTTTGAAAAAATTCCAATAAAAGAAGAAAAATAAGCCTAAAAGGAATAGTGTTTTCCACAAAATGTCACCAACGCAGCAGCACAGGCAAGCCCTTGCTCATGCTCGTGATGGGGGAATATTCTCCAGTCTTCTCATCCCTCCTTCTGCCTGCCTTAGCCAGGCGTCCAGAAGCTGCTGTGTGGCCTGGCTCTGCAATTCTTCATCGCCCCACCTGTGATCCAAACAGACCGTCTTCTGTCTGTACCCGGCTGGATCACAGTAACATCCAAATTGATCTACAATTCGATCCTTCCTGAAGATGGGTGTTGACCTGGCTCCCCCTTACAACAGTCTCCCACTGTTGTGTGACAAAGCCCTTCTTAGTGCACCTGCCAGTCTTCCCTACTTAGACCCCGCATTGTTCAAGGCTCTATTCTCCTTGAATATGGCAGTGAATGTGTATGTGTAATCCAAGCACCCAGGAGGCTGAGACAGACCTCACAAGTTCTAGGCTAGCCTGAGCTACATCATGAGATCCTATCAGAAAAAAATGAAAATAGTAATGATAGGTGATAATGATATATTCTATGTCCTCAGTACTTTCAGCCTGTCTTTGTCAGTCCTTGAGAGACCTCACCCACACCCTTGCTTTTCCGTCTGATGACAGGAACATGTATCTCCTCCGTAGGTGAGTTTATTGAGTTGTAGGATCTTATAGACTTAACCTGAAGCTTGACAGTGTCCCACTGTTTGCATTGCACTGTCTATCTTCCTTCCTTCTTCCCCTCTCTCTTCATTTACTCTTACAGGGTTAAACTCTGAACCTGGGCCTACCTTTGTCTGTTCCCTCCAGTGAGTTAGAGTAACTCGCTATTTCAATCCATGTTTGTCACCTCCCCCTCTCTGAACTATGACAGCAGCATCATAGCTTGCTCCCGTCCCTCCATTGTTGTTTTTATAATCCATGGCAGTCTCCAACACGACCTTGCTTTGAGATGAAAAGAATCTCTGTCCACACTCAGGAGAGTCTCCCATGAAAAACTAAGGGTTCTGGATTTATTTTCCTCTGCCGCTTTTAATAAGGGGACATAGAAGCGTCTGCATTCTACTCCACACTAACAGGTAATTCCAACATCCCCAGCAGTCACCCCAGGCCTTTCAGACTCAACAATTTTATCTACTTTACTGCCCCCAAATCCTCATGCCGTGGCTGTCCTGAGTGACTGCACTGATCTCTGGTTCTTGATACTACATTGAGCTGGCTACAACAATGCTTACGTATCTAGTAAGCACCCTGCCAACCCCACATACACAGACAACAGAGGAAGTAATGTGTAAGGCAAAGCCTTGGGGAATCGTGAAGCAAGTTATCCTTCAATGGTTCACCCAAAGAACCTTCACACGTACAGCAAAAGGGGTCAGATTCGAGCAAGAGCCTTGGGGAATCATGAAGCTACACACAAATCTCCAGGTTATCTTCAACCATTCTCAAGAGAGGATCTTCCTTCACGAAAGGAGTTTCCCTGCTTGCTGTGAATGTTCAGTGTCAACCTTATAACACCATGTGGCTCTCACAGCCTCTCCACTGTGACCCTTTGGGCTTTCGCCCCATCAGCTCTTCTTCAAACCACTAATCTCATCATAGTCTTTGACTGTCTGCTTCTACACCTCATCAGCATCACGCACGCATGCACGCACGCACGCACGCACGCACGCACATTACTGATGGGTGTAGCTCATTCATCACCTTGTCTCTGATTGGATACATTAATGAATAAATGGCAATCAACATGAAGCAAGGCCTTCCTCGACTCCTCACTCAGGCTCGTTGTCAAGCTTATCTGAGTCAACAATACCCTGATCATATAATTAAATTCTAGCAACTCGTATCTCTTTACTGATATCTTGAAGGAGTAAAGTAAGGCTTTTAGAGAGCGTTATGTAAATTCAAAGGGACAGCTGGATCCTCACAGCTCGTCACTGCCTTTACTGGTAACCCGGACTGTTCCCTCACCAGGTGCGAGGCAGCCTTGTCCACACCCTGGGCGTCTCCGGCGTCTCGGGAGTCTCCGAGTACAGCAGTCTCAGGAGCTGGGCTGGTGCCTGTGAGAACAGGAGACAGTGAAAGATGGGGAGTGGGCAGTGACAAGCAAAAGAGAAAAAACATTGAGGGTGGTGAAATGCGACAGCAGTCAGATGGCTACAGCCAGGGATAGAGCAGCCGCTCTGTCTTTCCCAGTCTGTAGGCGTGGCCTTTCACACAGAGGACCAGCTAGCTGTTTCGAAGTTTTTCTTGGGCCAGTGCTGCCTTTTTTCTACTGAAGGTCTTACTGGCCAATGACAGCTACATAGAAGGAGACACAGAAGTTGGCTTTCAAGCAGCTTGACACACAGTTTTGTAAATCGCATATGCAAGGCAGACAGTCACTATGACATTCTGCTAAAGCATGGACACTTTCAATCATCAGGCTACCAAACTGAGGGAAGGGACACTTTGGGGACACTCCATCATGTCTGGTAATTTCTGTTCATTTTTGCACACACTGCACAGAGGTTGACTACACTACCTAACAGTGCTTTTCAAGAGACAGTAGCGCTCTGCAGTGTTACAAAAGACCATAAGAAATAAGAATAAAATAGTTATCAATTTCTTTTGGAAAATATGATTCCCCCCTATGGAAGTTTTCTGGTTTTCCTTAAATTTTAGAGCAGGAACTGGCATAATGAGACCTAACGGAGTCTAATCCATTTCTGTTAGATAGCAATATTTAAGGCCTGCTATAATATATTTCAATTTTTCTTCCATCTACAAACTTGAAAGAAAACACTGGCACCCTCACACACCAGAGCTGCCTCTTAGACTTCTCTCCAGATGATATCCTCACAGTGTTTTACAAGAATTGTCTTCTGAAGAAGAATGCCAGCAATATGAAGCTACCAAGGCCACTGAGTTTGCTCATTTTCAGCACCACTTAGGGGCTTGCTTGCCTACGAGTTGCCCCTGCGCCCCTTGACAGCGTACCTGGCATGGCAGAGGCTGATCTTGCTTCCTCCTCCTTCTTGCAGAGAGACTTGCAGTCCAGGTCACCAGACGTCATGTGCAAAATGTCTGATCCAGATTCTGCCGGCAGGAAGAGGCTGACAGTGTAAGAGCCATGCAAAAGCAGCATTTGCCTAGGCTCCTCTCATTTGCACACACACACACACACACACACACACACACACACACACACACACACACACACACCTTAGCAGGCTGCCAAACACCAGGGCTCCATTTGCAATAAGAACTCCGATCCCCTCTCTCCGGCATCTACTCACCACTTGACGTCACGGTACTCTCTGAGGACCAGGTGTGATCAGCCGATGCTTGTGAGAGATACTCCCTGATGAAAGGAGACAAGACATATCTTCAGCATGGAAGGCAAATAATTCCTTTAGAAAAACCAATGGAATAAACACCCAAGTTCAAAAGCATGCAAACCTGAGCTGTGGCACGCTCTCAGAATACAAGTGGCCAACACCATTCTCCTGCAGGGAACAGGGAGACACACGTTCAGTAATTTGACAGAGTCCATCCCAGAAAGACGGCTTTAGGCAAACACCCCCAACTGTTTTAAAGGAAGCCACTATTTACTCTGTTCTGGGGAGAGTTTGGGAATGGAACCTTACATGGAATCTTCACAAACACACTTCCTAACAGCTGTTCTCAGAGGCAATATCACACTTTAAAGAAAACCTGATTTTTTTCCTTGAGCAAAACAAATTCTAAGCCCCAAGGGCAGACGGAGTTTACTTCACACACTCTCATCATGTTCTCTTTGCAGGGGAGGCACTATCTGAGTGTCACATTTTCATCTAGGAGACCGTTACTCAGCATCAGACTTTTGACCTGAGATGGCTCTTGGGTCTCTTGCTAGATAAATGATACATTTTAGACTTAACCCACATCGAAGGGATATGACAGATTTACCACCATGTCGCATCCAGGACTCCATCAAAGGGACTGGTGAGGGCAAGCGGTTTACACTTATAGTAAGGGCTCTCAGCTGGAGCGGCTGGTGTGTGGCACGAGGATTTATGCACATGCTCACTCTCTCAAAGAGCAAAGTTAGGCATTGGTCTGGTCTGGTGTCTCCTGGGCTTTTCCTGTAAGATTGCTCTGGTTGTTATGTCTTTAGGAAGGGAAACTGAATTCAAAACTGCTGTCATTCTAGCATGTCTGAAGCAGATTCGGGCAAGGTGAAATGAAAACACACGTGACTACATGCAGGTGTGCATAAACTGTAAGACCAATTGGATACAGAATCGTCAAAGGCTACAGCCAATGGCAGGCTTCTACAGAAGGACGCTGCTTTCGAGAAAACACTGAGCAGAGCGCCACAGAGAACAGTAGTGAGGGCTTGGTTTTTGCCGTTTTATCTCATTGTTGGCTTTGGGCAGTCCTGATGAACCAAGAGCCTTGGCCACACCAGGCAAGAGCTTTCTCGCTGACCAACCCTCAGTCCAGCAGTCTCCGTCTCTTTAGTTTGTTAAAAATCTACAAACGTCAGGGGCAGCTAGAGGACTCAGAAGGTGGAGGTGCTGATGCCAACTCTGATGACCTGAGTTCCATCCTTGGAAACCAATAACAGAGTGGAAACAGAGAAGTGACTCCTGCAAGAAGAGTGTCTGACCTCTGCATCGATACTGAAAACATATACCTATCATCTCATTTCCCCATAACTGTTATACCAAGGCTTTTCAGGGGGAAATGCAAGAAATTAAGGTCAGGGGAGAGTCTACCAAGAGCTTGAGAAGCAGCCAGGCTTCTGAACAACATTGAAACATTGAACTAAAGACAGTGTCTTCTCCATTGCAGACTAACTTTTGAGTATGCACTGACTAGGGGCTTTGGGAAAGAGAATGGATCGACTATTCAGACTTATAAAGATTTAAATATAAACATGGGCTGGAGAGAGGGTTCAGCAGTTAAAAGAGCTGGTGGCTCTTGCAGAGGACCTGAGTTCAGTTCCCAGAACCCAATGGTGGCTCACTCCAAGCTGTAAGTACATCTCCAGGGGTTCTGCATGGATATGAGCATACATTCACATGGACACACAATAAATCTTTTAAAAATCAAATATTAATTTCAATGTGTTTTTATCAAATACAAAAAAGAGAAATGCTCGAATTTGAAAAAATAAGAATCCCTATCACTGCTTAAGTTTCTGTTTCATTTCTTCTGGCTTTTATTTATTTTTGTTTTTGCATTTTTTTACAATGTTTTACAATTTTTAACAAGACTTCTGTTTTTTAAAAAAAGCCCAAGTGTCCTGTTTAAAGCCAAAACACAACTATAGCAAACACGTATGATTTGTCCCTATAGTGTCACAGACAAGTCTCATCTGTAGGGTACCCTTATGTTCACCAGTAACCGTAAACTGTGCAGTCAGAGGGCCTCAATTACACAGTAGAAAGCCTTCCGTGTCATGCTCTGAAACTTTCTCAGAAGTGTTTTTGACAACTGTCAAATATTTACTGACTACACAAATGTCGTGTGTGATCCGAGAGAAACCTCACAAACTGAGTGTCCATCTGTCTTGCCATATTTCTGAAGGATTACTGTAGAAGCAGCTGGATTTAACTTTTAAGTTGTTAATCTTTATAAAACCCAACCATTAGGTAATGACACACAGCAGAACTCAGTCCTACTTGTCAGAAGTGTAGCCCAGAAAAATGTTTATCCATCATATGACAATAACCAGAGTAAGGAGATTGGCTTTTTGTTCTACAAATTTCATTTTACATTTGGGGTTGAAGTGTAGGAGAATCGGAGAGAAAGACTTCTAGACAGCTGTGTATATGGGGTGGGATAGGAGTAGTTTAAACCCGGATTAAACCATCATTCCATGCTCATACAAGACCTTAACCCCACCAACCAACTTATGACCTGGAGAGACTGTGAGGGAGAATCTCCCGAACACATTTTAAAAGCAAAGAAAACCAGGAAATAGAGTAAATTTGAGTGGGAGACTGACTTACTTGTGGCAGACTGGCTCATTCCATGAAGCAGAATGTTCCCCCTCTCAGGCAATCCATTCAAATAGAGACCTGATCCCATTTACATGGAAACCCAGGCTCCAGACCTTGCATTGTGAGCAGCAGTTAACACAGGGCGGGGTTGGCAAGGAATGGGACCAAGTGAGACAGTCTCCTATGGGCTGGGTCAGCATACATCGGGCTCTCTCTCTCTCTCTCTCTCTCTCTCTCTCTCTCTCTCACACACACACACACACACACACACACACACACAGAGAGAGAGAGAGAGAGAGAGAGAGAGAGAGAGAGAGAGAGAATCTGAATGTGTACATAGAAAAATAAACAGGAAGAATAGGAAAGACAGGATTGATTTTAGGAATTCATTAGCCTAGATAATCTTCTAGGGCTGTTTATTCTCAGTAAAATGCTGCTTTAACTATAGTCTTTATAAATGGAAATTTTCCCTCTGATAGACAGGTGTTGCCCACATAATTTTACTACTGGACTGGGTTTAGACAACTAATGCTAGTCATATTAACAAGACCAAAAAAAAAAAAAAAAGACCCAAAACAAAACCAAAACAAAACAAACAAACAAAAAAAAAAACTGTAGCCAGAGTTTATACAAACCTAGGACTGGACTCTGTGTTCATCTAAATGCTCCAAAAAGGAGGAGAATGCTCAACCGACCTGGGACAGGAGCAGAACTAAATTTCCTCATTTCTCCCCCTTTGCTGTCTAACCAAAAGCACACCACACCCTCAGACCTGTGGGGCACACCCAGCACTGAAAGGTTCACTTAGAAGCAGTTATCAGTCAACATCAATGGGGCCCAATCATGTAGTTGGCGATGTTATTTATTCTCCAAGGTTATTAATGCTGCGCCTACACACAGCCTGAGAAAACAGGATAGACGGCAGCCAGAAAATCCCCCAAAGTATTATATTGATCCTGCCTCAGTGACAGTCTGTCATACAGAAACAAGCCATGACAT